AACTAGTTAGAATGTCTGACCCGAGACAATTTTAGTTTTTCTCACATAATGATAATGAACAAGATTTAAGTTTTTCTTGGGTTAAATTCGTTTCCATTAATTTAATTTAGGAAGGTATATTGAAAAGGTATTTAATGAACACTGTTTGGCTGCATAATTTACAGGAAAATTCATCTAAAAAGGGATGGACAGTTTCATCCTTTATCATGTTAATGCAGTCATTATAATGTAGAGAAAAAACGTATGCTGTAAATAAAAGAAGAAAAAGATAGATTAATGAAATTATATATTCTTGTATCTTTAAGTATGATGTTTTCAAATTTGGTGCAATGTTAAAAATGGTGTCAAATAAGTCATGCAAGCTTTATCAAACAAAAATGAGTTCATATTAGATAATGAGGATTAGTGAATTTGTTGCATGCATGCAGTGTCAGTATGGTTACTTGTATCTACGCATGCAAAAACTTAATGGAAGACATTTACCATTATATTCATGGCCATGAAGTATGGACCCTATTTCATCGTCTAGCTGTCTGGATAAGGCATTGAATCAATATTGCAGGTGATACATGTTGCAAAATCAGATTCTCGACTAGCAAACAATGATCTCCCTCTTGACATCCAGAGGTTGAGATGCCGCACATTGTATCAGGCACTTCGATTTTCTCCTCCAATTGAGACTCTGGGAAAGGTTTGGGTTTCCGTTTTTTTTTTTCTTTTGGGGTGCAATTTCTGTCACTTTAAGTGTAATCTGGACAGTGCAATGGGATTTAGTGACTCATTTTAAGTTGTTGGAATTGTTTATTAAATAGGTCATAGATATGCAATTATTCAACAATATAAAATGATACATAGTTGCTGGATTGAAACCTTGATTTTAAAACTTCCATAAGTTTCCATTACACTGCTAGACTTTAGGCATATGATCCCAGGATTACCATATCCTTCACCATTAATGCATTTAAGAGGTCTACTTGGGGCTTCCTGGTAAATTAGGTTCTGAGCATGCATGACGGTGAAAAAACAGAGGCTGGTGGAGCGGCTGCGATCACGCGGGGAAAGATATATTGCTCTCCATTTGAGATATGAGAAAGATATGTTGTCTTTTACTGGATGCACTTATGGTCTGACAGATGCAGAATCTGAAGAGCTGAGAATAATGAGGTGAGAATAGTTATATATACATACTGTGTACTAGAAAAGTATATAATTCCAGAAATGTTCACTTTAAATCATTCAATAGATCTGTTTTTTTATATTCATTTCAATTTTTTTTTTTGACAGAGAGAACACAAATCATTGGAAGGTTAAAAAGATAAATGCAACAGAACAGAGAATTGGAGGATTTTGTCCTCTGACTCCAAAGGAGGTTGGGATTTTTCTTCAAGCTCTTGGTTTTCCTCCATCAACGCAGATATACATTGCAGCTGGGGAGATCTATGGTGGTAATACTCATCTTTCAGAGCTCTCAACCCGCTTCCCCAATCTGATTTTTAAGGTCTGTGAATAATCTTGTATGTGTTAATAAATACTTAAATGGCACAGAGTCTGCTGGTAAGGTAACTAATAGATTGGACAATGATCACAGGAATCGCTTGCAAACCCTGAGGAATTGATAGCATTCAGCAATCATGGTTCTCAAACTGCAGCACTTGATTACATAATCTCTATGGAGAGCGATGTGTTTGTTCCATCACATTCAGGAAATATGGCAAGAGCTGTTGAGGGTCACCGCAGGTTCTTAGGTCACCGCAAGACAATCAACCCAGACAGGTATTGTTTTTTTTTTTTTTCTGGGTGAAATTCCAGTACTGTTTTTATTTCCTTCTTCTTAATCATCATCCTTCTTTTTTCAACAACAACTAGCCTTATCCCACTAGGTAAGGCTGGCTACATGGACTGTATTATGCTATTGTGCTCTCTCATTTATTAAGTTTTTAGAAATGTTAACTAAGAGGTCTTGCTCAACAATTTTCATAAGTATTCTCTTTGGCCTTTCTTTATCCCTCATTATAGGACTCAAAATTATCCAGTCTCAAACTCGGGTAAAGAAGGAGGGTTGTGTTAAGCTATTAACAGCCAACATAAAACTTTGTTGAATCTCACATTGATATGGACATCATTCTTCTCTTTCCAAGCCCGTTAATTCACATTGTGCTATTCTATTTCCTTTTACTTGCTCCACTTCTTCTGTTTTCTGTTATTTATGTATTGCCTGCTGCAGCCTACCTGCAAAGTTGCATCGTAAATTACATCAATATTTTAAAGTTTAACACACCCATCACATTTAGGATTTTACCGAGTTCTGTAAATAAATATTTCTGGAGTTTCTGATGAGCTCAATGATTCAAGAGAAAACGCTTTTATAATTTGGGGGCTTGATTCTTCTTTGTCAATTTGCATGCTATTGTCCGCTTAATTCTCAGGAAAGGGCTTGTTGAAATTTTTGATAAGTTGGAAACTGGAGAGCTAGAGGAAGGACCATCACTTTCAAATCTGGTGCAGCGGATGCACAAGAGCAGGTAACAGCCAAATCCGTGTCCCATGATTGCCTTCATGATGTTTAAAACTTGAAAATTAAAATAACTCATGGCATGGTTTTCCTATGCAGTACTCCCTCTGGTCCTAAATATAAGATCCATCTATTTTGTCTCTTACATCAAATGCTTTTTTAACCAAAATACCCTAATTACTGTTCAATTTTTTTCTTGGTTAGAAGTCATTATTTGTTAAGACATCCCATTAAATGCTAGGGATTATTGTGGAAGAGGATTTTATTTGATACATTAGTTAAAAATGCCTAATTTAATTAATTTTCTTAATATTGATGAATTTAAAATGGTTCTCATTTTGCAAGTTACCGAGATTGAAAGACTTTGCTTATTTTCCATCATATCTATAGGCAAGGCGCTCCAAGGAAAAGACATGGTTCCCTGCCTGGAGTTAAAGGACGAGCACGTTTTAGGACTGAAGAGTCCTTTTATGAAAATCCATACCCAGAGTGCATATGTGGTTCGAGAAGGAAACTAGGAATAACATGACGATAGATCAATGTGCAGTTTCACTGAGAAATTAGTTGACGGTTTGTTGATTGTGATCAGAAATTGCTGACACGCTCGGTTCAATGTCTGAGCTAACAGTTGTCTGAGGCCCTTGGTCATAATACACGCATCTCGCCAAGTTGATTCTATGCGAGTATTTTGGCCGCTCCCCCTAGTATCGTTTTTCTGTTTTTATTTTTCAAAACAAAAATTATAGTTCATGATTTGAAGTGAAATATATTTATATTTTTATTAAGATTTTGATAATTTGAATTTCTGCCGAGAAGTTTTAGAATTAAAGAATTAAATTGTACTGAAAAATCCTAGTTTGGGAAGTTAAAGATTTACGGTCCTAAAATCCTTTAAAATAATTTTAAAATTCGAGATTTTTTAAAATGATTTTAATTAAGGATATTTAGGTTATTAATTAAGCTCTCTTGATTTTACAGCAATTGATTTCATCGGAAGTAGAGCATTCTAACATTTAGGCGAAAGTGCACATTTAATTTTTAAACTCTATATAAAATTTTATTTTAATTTTTTAATTTTATAAAATATATTTTTAGTTATTTAGTGTTGACACTGTTAGTTTTATTGATAAAACTTTTTTATATTAACATTTAAATACTAATAAAATATTTTCAAGTATTGACATATTAGATTTAATTTTTTAAAATAATAATGATTGATATAAAAATAATTATTTTAAATTGATAATGTTGCGATTAGAGAATTGAAAAAATAATTTATAAAATTAAAGGATTAAATTAAAAATTTATATAAAATTATAAAACTAAATACATTTTAATCTTAACATTTATGAATCTTGGATTGGTGCCACCTGCATGTTTGGGACTGTGTTAACCATCTTACAATATTCTTTCTTAAAGCATTCAAATGTAAGACACTTTTATTTTTAAGGGAGAATTACAGTTAAGTTCTACACAAGAGAATTAATTACTGTAAATTTCATTGATAACTCAACTAAACTGTATCAATAACTAATTATGTTGTCAATACAGTTTAATTCAATTGTCAATAAATCTTGCAGTAATTAATTTTTTTATGTGAAATTTTAATACCATTGCCCCTATTTTTAATGATTCGTGCCTTGGAGAGCAAGTTTGGCGTGACTTTGGGCATTTTACTATTAAACTGAAAAATTAAAATCTGAAGTAAAGGATAGGAGCCGGAATTATGCCAGATTTTCCCCCCTTGTTGGGTCAGATCTTTCAAAGGTGATTGGCTCTACATTTACACCTCGCATATCATCTTGTCCCAAAAAATGAATATAAATGTAGTTCTCTTCCTTGTCAAATTTACAAAGCTCCTGTGTCTACAGAAATATATATATATATATATATTTATTTATTTATTTATTTATTTTTTGCCAGAACTGCGTCTACAGAAGTTGGAGGGAAAACAGGCGGCAAAACGAATGTTTTACCATGAAGTTTCTTTGACTTCATCCAGCCGCAAGGTGGTGTGACGGCAAAACAAAATGAAAAATTTGAAAATAAGGAATACCGGTGGAACCCACGGAATACGGTGAAGTTCCTTAACGGCGAAGAAGAAGCTAAGGGGCAGCAATTGAAGTCATTTTGCGTCAAGCATGGTTTCTTTTTTTTTTTTTTTTTTTTGCTCTGATTGAAGCATGGAGTTTTATGAACAACTCTAATCTCTGGCAAGAAAACTGATTAAGAAAAAAGTGCTTCACTTGCTGCTTTCGGATTGATGTTGGTGCAGTCAAGATCCCTTTCTCTCGTGCGTCTTTTTCACGGTGCAGGATGGCATGAAAAGAAAGCGGTTTATATTCGAAAAGTTAGAACCTGTTTAGTTTCTGTTTTCTTTTTTTTTTTAAAGCACATATGTGATCCGGATTTGGTTGTGAGGGACTAATAAACCGAAATTACATCTCTTGGGACTAAATTAGGGTTTAACTCGAAGGAATATTGAGGGTAAGACCATAATGACAGCATGAAGGCTGAAAGAGCATTCATTAATTCCTTGTCTCATCGTGTCATCAAGAATAGAGAAACAGAGGATGACGGTTATAAGAGAGAGCATAAAACGTTCATCCAGTAAAGACAATATTGAATGTCATCAAATTTCTGTAGATTCACAAAGTATGCATGCAATATAGGCAAAAAGAATATTAAACTCTGAAATAAAGGACACTGGGGTCCATGTTCCCCGGTACGATACTCTGAGCTGGGAACTTTGGGAGCCGATTAGCCATATACATTGCTGCTTCTAAGTATGACTCATTCCTTCTCGTTGTCCCTTCCTTTTCTAAAAACTGAATGCAAAAGTTGCCCTCGTCTTGTTTAGCAAGCTTCCCAAGTTCCTCTGTTTTCGGTCTCCAGCTTCCATTTCTCATATTGAAGGTGTACAAGGGAAGGAATCGCTGGCCATAGTCTGCTATAAACTCCATGGCTCTTAGTATGAACTCAAAATCCTCTTCGCTCATGTAATAAGGAAAACTGACTCTGGTCCATCCAGGTTTGACGCCAACATAACCCTGTTCATGGTATTCAATATTTTTCTTTACCAACAAAACGATTTGCATTATGAAGTTCAGAAATTTTAGTAGAAAGAGTGAAGCTTTTTACCTCTTCAACTGCTGATCTAATAGCAAGAGAGTGACATTTGTTGATGTTGAGTAATTGGTGACCATAGGGTCCAGCACAAGCACACCCACCTCGAGCTTGGATGCCAAACAAGTCATTCAGAAGAGTTGCAACAAAAGGACCGTTAAGAGGCTTACCTCTCTTGTTTCCAGTCTCTGCCCACAAATTAAGTTCCCCTTCTTTTTCCTTCTTGATATCATTTTTTTCCCCTTCATTTCTCCAACCATCCGATGAAGAATTGATGGTTGTATGGATTAGAAATGACAATATGGCTTGCCTCTTGGTGCTCAAGTTTCCCAGAACTTCAATGTTCGGATTTGGGAGAAGCCTCTCAAGTGCCCTGTTTATGTATGATTGTTCCCGTTTTTCAATTGCTTCATAGCCAATGTATTCTTTGACCCAAAACGCCAATGATGCCCTCACCGTCTGGATTATTTGAGGGGTGCCTCCATTTTCCCTTTCCTCTACGCTCTCCAAATATAATGTATCCTGCATTAGTGATCACGAAGAATTCACCAAGTTTGTTTATGACAACATTCAAGAGGCAGAGTAAGACTGATGTTAAGAACTGATGCATCTCAAAGCATCCGTATTCCGTAGTTCATAATCAACATATTTCTGATTTGTGGAAGCTAAGGCGCTTATCAATTCCACATTACATAATTCTAATTTCTACACAGAATAGTTCGGTTCCTACCCATTTGCATTTACATTGTTTCTCATATACACAAGTCGCTCTTTGAAATTTTTGTCATTTACCTTTTCATTGAAGCCGTTGACGTAGCTCACGGTTCCACCTCCACAAGTGGATGGCGGTGAAGATCTCAGCCCATACAGGGCCTTGCTCATCAAGAGCACGCCGGGAGAACCAGGACCGCCCAGAAACTTATGTGGACTGAGGAACACAACATCATACCCATCACTCTGTCCCGATCTCATGTCAATCTCCACGTATGGACCACTAATAAAGCCAAAATCATTTCAAGTTTTGAAATTTTGGTCACCCAGACAGAAACAATCCACAAAAAAAAAAAAAACCCAGAATTTCAAATACCTTGCTGCGAAATCGAAGCATGCGAAGCCATTGTATTGGTGAAGAAGCCTGGCAATTGCTCGCGTGTCTGAGCAGATTCCAGTGACATTGCTACAGGCTGAGAAAGATCCCAATATGGGCCGGCCGGTATTTTTATATGCTTCAAGTTTAAGCTTCAGCAAGTCCACATCTAGCAATCCCTCATCGTCTAGGTCAATCTCTATTACTTCGGCCAAGCTTTGTCGCCATGAGAGGAGGTTGGAATGGTGCTCGTGAGGTCCAACGAAGACGACCCATCTTTCTTCTGGGCTCAAGATTTTCAGAACCTTGTCCCTCAGGATCGAAGGTACAGCGACGCCCATTACTTCTTGGAGCCTTTTGATGGCCGCCGTAGCGCCGGAGCCACAAAATATGAGTGCATCGTCTGGTCCACCCCCTAAGCATGTCTTGATGTAATCGGTTGCTTCGTGCACCATTTTTGTCGTCCGACTTCCGACATAGCTGTCGCATGTATGAGTATTGCCTATCCGGAAGTAAAACAGGCTCAAAGATTAACTCAAAATCTTCTGTTTTTTTGGGTTTTCCAATTCATTTTACACTAGGCTCTGTTTTTTCCCAAAAAAAAAAAAAAGCATCTCAGTGGAACAACAACAAAAATTTCCAGTCCACGAGCCTCCTGAAACCAGACTACATGCAGCTCTAACCCAGTTATTAATATAACCCCGAAAATGTGATGCTTTTTTTTTTCAAAGGGAAGGAGATGATGAATGATGAAATTTTCATCATGATCATCTCGTTATTATTTGTACATTTCTTACTTCCCCTCCCGTGATCATCTCTTATGTACGAATAAAAACAAACTCGAAGCAGTGCACAACTAAATATCTGCGTACCATAAAAGGGAAGGAGATGATGGATGATGAAATTTTCACTGTGATGAAGGCTACGACCTGAAGCAGTATGATCAGCATAGAGAATTCGCCGTCTTCCGAAAGGAGAATCAAACTCTGCATCGTGGCCAATGATCTGAGATCGAAGCCATGCCAGTTTTGCGACCACAGAATCATTAAGAGGCAGACCCATCTCTACCAACATCTTAAATGACTCCGAATGATTGCAAAAATCATCAGATTCTTCTGATATGCTGCTTTCGGACAAAATGCTAGCCTGAGTAGCAATATCATCCTCGTTCTCACTTCCAGCTAAGTAGGGCTCTCTCCTCAGCAAGTGATTATCTGCCCAAAAATTCCGCTCTAGTTCCATAACCCAAATAATGGGGTATAAAGAATTCCTTATGAAATGAAACATGTACAAGATGAAGATGGATGAGGCGAACAGAGAAGGATTTCACTTTTAAGAGGAAGCACTCAAATTATGAGTATATATATTTCAAAACAGTACAGTGTACTTCAATGGGATTCATATTATTATGGGCAGCAAATATAAACCACGTGTCGTCTTTGTTCTTTAAAATACTGTGAACATGTTCAATTCAGGGAGCTCTCACAGTCTCGCTTTAGCTAGGGGCAAGATTTGACGCGGTGGTGCCAAACGTTTGAGGCTAAACTTTGAACGTGAAATCCCTTTTTTCTTGGTGTTGACTACACACCAGAGTTCGGGAGCTGGAAGGCAGAGACGAAGGAGTTCGTCATACGAAAGTGAGAGAAATTTTTATTGACGCGGATCGATGTTAAAAACATTCAGGCTGCAATGGTTGGATTTTGAATTTTTGTTTGACCATAGTTCGGCAACGTTCCAGATTGTAACTTTACATACTTCCTGTGGGTACTCAACTTTATCTATATATTAACAAATTAAATTAATAAAAAAAAATTATCCCTTTGAACATAATCATTTTATATATATATATATATATTCAAATATATTAATATGTACTTCTTTAGATCATTTTATAAGAAATAACTGAGTATCTTTTTTAGATTTTAATATAATAAACAGTTTTATATTGTCTTATGCATTTGTTAAGAAAAATAGAAGAGTACCTACAGGAAGTAGGATATACATATAAAAAGAAGATTGATTAAGAAATTACATTATTGATTAAGATAAAAAATCTAAATTATTCTATGATCCTCACACATAAACTAAGCGCTTAGCCAATCCATTTGACCCGTCAATTTTATTTTATTTTTCACTTCTTTTTTGACAGGCTGGCCCACAGAAATTTTCGCTAGCTTCATGGCAGTTAGAAACAGATCGAGAAAATTTAAGTGGCCCCCGCACAATTTGGTTGTTTTTCATATTTATCTCCTTTTTATTTTTTTTAAAGGAAAATATGTCTGTTTTTGTAATTTTATTCAATTTTAAATTAGATATATATATATATATAGTTTATTTTATTTTAATTAAACCTTTATTTTTTGATCAATTAAATTTTTTAGTTTTTAAAAGTTAAAATCCCCAAATTTTTCTTTTAAAATGACAAATATATTTGATAAATAAAAGTTTAAGTGAGTTAGGTTTTGGGACTCATCAAAATCAAGACAACTCTTATATTTTTATAAAATAATTATATAGTTTTTGAATGAATTAAATAATTTTTATAACTAATAATTTATAAAATTACCATTTTCTGAATGCTTTTTATTCATATAGATTTTCATAAAAATTAAAAAAATGTAAACAGTATATTAAATCAATTTTTTTTAAATTTTGGCTAAAGGTATTAAATTAAATTTTCTACGAACTACAAGATCTTTATGGGTGTATATATATAATAGATGCAATTATAAGTTTTTGATTGAAAAAAATAAACTACAAGAATCTAATTTAAAATTGAGCAAAATTGTAAAGATTTTTAAATCTAATTTTTTTCTTTTTTAAATAAAATATCGTGATGCAAAGATACAACCTTTTCATTTTGGCTTGAGTTTTTTTTTATTATGATAAAAAATTTAGATGAGTTACGTTCTATAGGTTCAATAAAATCAAAACATGTTTCCAAATTTAAAGAATACTTATAAAGATATTTATAGAATGTCAACCAATAAAATTCTTATATTGATAGCTAAATTTAATTTTGCAATCTTGTAGGTTATTAATTAAAATCTTTATTAATTAGACTAATTTTCTTTGATAGTTTGGGTTGGATTTCTTTTGAAGTGACTATGCTCATGAACCTTGGATATGGCAAATTTCTAAGTCATACTTTTTTAGGTAAACATAACTTTTGATCCCTTTACTTTATTCTTGTTTTGCTTTTAATTCTTATACTTTTTTTGATGTTTTAGGTTCTTATATTTTTATTTTTTATTATTTTGAGTCTTTCCAAAGCCTTTATACTTTGCTTATAGAAGTATCAAAAATAATGAAAAATAAAAATATAGAGACTTAAAATATTAAAAAAAAGAATAAGAATCAAAAGTAAACGCGAGTACAAAAATTAAAAGTAATGTTTACCTTACTTTTTTTTATCCATAATAATATATATTTATGGCCAAAATTTTCAAGAATCTATTTTATAATAGATAATTATGCATTGTGCATAATTCTTTCACCTCAACAGGAATTCATATATGATTAAAGTGATTGATTTTTAATTTAACTAGAATAAAACAATACCACATGACTATGAGGATATAATTTTTCTACAATTGATGTGGTAGAAATTAAGGCGAAAAAAAACTAGGGTGGCTTAGAGAGCTATAGTAAACCGTAGCTGTTATGCACTTATGCTATGCTCAATTGCTCATGGTATTTTTCATATGCTATACATAGTTTATATAATTTTTGGGGTTTAAAAAATTACGAAATCCTTATTCGTATATTTGTAAAATTTATAATAAAAAATAAAGTCAAATTCTGGTAAAAAATATTCTGACTTGCATGAAATAAAAAAGGAGACTGTTTTGAGTATTATTATTCTAAAGTCCATTGTAAATATCCTAGAATTCCGTGAAACAGTCAAATTTTTATAGATGCACCTTAAAACATTTTTTCAATTAAAACCTAGGGGACTTTAGAGTTATTTTTACGTTTTCTAAAATTTTTTAATACCTACTCTTTCCATTTTAAATCATAAAATATTTTTAAATAAAATTTTATATATTAATAAATTTTATTAAATATATTTAACAATTATATATTTTTAAAATAAAAATGTAAAATTTTAAAAATATTTATAATTTAATATAGTAAAAAAAGAACGGATAAAAATTAATGATAGAGAAATAAAGAGTAATATTAAAATTAATTTATTTAATAAAATTTTAACCTACTTAAAATATTTTATATTTTAAAATTAATTTTTTTTGAAAAATACCTTATAAATTAAATTTAATAGTGAGGGAGTATAATTCTTGCACACGAGCCCTCCGAGTGATTTTCCCACTTTCTCCCCCGTTCCCTCCTTGTCGCGGCAACAACACTTAACATTTGAAACTTCCAGAAATGGTATGTCTCGGAAAGGTTCCTTCTGCCTGTCTTGCCTACTTCGAAGCTGCCTCCCTCACTCTGCTGTCTCGCAAGCCAAGCAATGCCGTGCCCAAATCGTGCTCCAAGGCTTGCTTCCCAATGTCACTCTTCAAACGGATCTCTTGTTGGTATACTTTAGACGCTGGTTTTCGGCCATGCACGCAAGGTTTTCGATGGAATGCTCCGCAAAAACATGCATTCTTGGAACATCATTATCGACTCGTATGCCAAGAATTCGCTGTATTATGATGCTATAGCAGTTTTCCGTAAAATTCCAGCGGAGTTGGGTCTTTGGCCTGATCATTTTACTTTGCCTCCCTTGTTTAGGCTTCTACTGGAGTAGGAAATACTTCCCTTGGTAAGACAGGCCATCGTGCTTTGGTGATAAAGCTTGGGTACGAGGAATATGTCGTTGCTGGAAATTGTATGCTGGAATTTTATGCCAAATCGGGGGCTATGAGCGAGGCAAGGTGTGTGTTCTCTAATATGTCGTTGAGGGAATCTGAAGTGAGGAATTTGATGATTTCAACATTTACAAGGGCTGGCTTGCATGCGGATGCTCTGAATTGTTTAAGGGGAATTATTTTGAACGAAGTTAAGATTGATAGTTGTTCTAGCGTTTCAAATGCTTGCAGAAGGGAAGGGGGATTGATGTAAATCTGGTCTCTTGGACTACCCTGACATCTTGTTTTGGGATGCATGGAAAGGGAGAGGAATCTTTGTTTCTGTTTAAGAAAATGATCGATATTGGGTTCACAAACCAGGTTACACTCATAGCAATCTCAGCTAGTTGTAGCCATTCAGGTTTAGCCGATCAAGGCATGCAAATTTTCAACTCGGTTCGTTCAGAATACAAATTTAAGCCGAGCGTAAAGCACTATGCTTGCATAGTGGATCTTTTGGGTCGCTGTGGATATCTGGTGGAAGCACTTCATATACTGGAAGGTATGAAATCGCCTGCCGCGGAAGGCATTTGGGACGCCTTGCTGGCCGGTTGCATGATGCAAAAAAATGTTAAAATTGGATAGACTTCATGGTTGCATGAGCAACTATATTGCAACGCGTAGCATACATGAATCTCACAGTAAGCTTGAAGCCGTTTCAAGTGTTGGAGCGAAGTTGAGCACTTTGATTTAGTTAAAGCTCCTGGTTGTTGTCGGATAAACATTGTAGAGAGATTTCATAAATTCTACCATGACCTTTCCCATTTACTGCCGCAAATGATTCACCAAATATTACCTCAAATTAGTAACCCTGAAATGACCGATGACTGTGAGCAGTATGATTGATGCTTGGCCTTGGTCACGGTCAAATATTCTTCATCTATTCATCTGGTTGAGTTTTCACTCAGTTGTTTTGAGAAGAATAGAGATCACCAGAAAAAAGAGTCAACAGAAAGTTTATAGCAATTGAGTGGTGACTTGGGAGTGGTGATGGTGGTAATGGTTATAAACTGGCCCTGTTCAGCCCTGCCAAAATGAATGTAGTGTTTCTGCGTTTGTTTTTTTTTTTGCTTGGATGGGTAGAAGAAAAAAAATTCAATATGAAAGTTTTTAAATGATTGTGATAAAGGGATAATAACCATGAAAACCAGGCTTCACGTTGTTCAGTTTTTTGGTTACACAAGGCTTATATTTATATACGCAGATGAATGCTTGTGTTATTTCTCTATCGTCGCAAGGTTAGAATTGAGAGAAATAGTTAATTTCATGTGATGGCTAATGAGCCGCACCGCCTTGAGCTTAAAGGCAGGTAATTGTTCTCTCCTGAGTCCATGTCAAACGTGATTTTCGGGACAACACGAGAAAAGGATTTGCAATTGATTATTTCGTGTCGACATTTTTCTGCTCTTTTCTGTGCACTATCGAGAACAAAGCCATGGGTTTTGACATGCAGACAAGAATTTACATCTCAATCTTACATATACTACCTTTCCATCAGGTTTTACGAAGAATTGGCAAAGAATCAAAAGAATAACTTTCTATTACTTTAGAGAAACCGGTAACATCTTAGGTATTTCAGAATAGCACGGTAGAAGACAGAGGTCGACAATCACTAAATCAGAGATGACTCCTGTTAAATGGTGTTAGCTTGGATTGAGATCAGGTTCAAGTTGGGATTGTTTGATGTATGCTTGTAAATACATGTTGAGAAAGCCTGCTAATCTGCATTCAAGGATTAAAATTGTGAAAAGAAATTCTACTCTAAAAATGGTAAGAGCACTATAAAAGACAATTGTTTATTGTAGGTCAAAATAACACAAGATTTGGTGGTAATAATGTGCATCAATATATTACTGGGAATTAGTAAGTGATTTAACAGCTACCTTAGTTGTGTAACTAATTAACCTATAATATTTCGGTTATTGTCATGAACTCAAGCTCTTCCCTTCTCCCTTTATTTATTCTCCATCTCTTGAAGGTCTCCTAAGCAAACAAAAAAGTTATCAATATAAAATACAAGGTCTATAACAAGCCATTATTTACAAACCATGAATGATACAAACTCATTTCCCTAACTCTGTACATTCCACGAGGCTCAATATCTAATTAATAACAAAACAAATGGACGAAGGCTAAGATAATACCGGTTCTGCATTTTTAGCAGCATGAACATAGCCGAGTAAATGCTTACTTTACAGTGTTAAGATATAAGTTTGTGAGCGGAGAAACGAATGGAAGGGACCCAAGTTTAAACCTAAATTTTGTTATACATAAAATTAATCTCATTTAAGAAAGGAAACCCTTTTAATTTGGCATATAAGAAGAGAACTGCCTGAATGACATATATGAGAACAGAATGGCTAATATAAATGAAATTGCTAACATGCTCTGACAAATTAAGACAATCTAAAGGCACAGGCAACTACTAAAGTATATCATATAAATTAGCCTAATTTAACATAAGAACCAAGGGGGCAATGAATGACATATAATAAGAGAACTGCATGAATGACATATATGAGAACAGAATGGCTAATATAAATGAAATTGCTAACATGCTCTGACAAATTAAGACAATCTAAAGCCACAGGCAACTACTAAAGTATATCATATAAATTAGCCTAATTTAACATAAGAACTAAGGGGGCAATGACATTACCAAAAAAATGTGGAAAAAGAAAAGGTCCTATTTTGAGCCTGGATTTAGAATGTAGAGGCAAATAATTATTATATGGCCCTGTCAATGCTTCAAAAAAAAAAAAAAAAAACAAGAAGAAGAAGAAGAAAGAAAGCACAATTATCAAAACTTGAAAACACTACAAATCTATAATCATGCAAGATACTCCCAGACAGAGAGAAAGAAAACGCAAGAAAGAAACCAAATTGATTCAACTCACCTTCTAACAAGTAAAGAGTTGGGAGAGGACAATTTCATTCCATATATCAGGTACGCCAGGTAGGCACCAATGGCTACAATCAGGGAACAAGGGTTGTCACTCCAGTTACCCACATGTGCATCACTCCGGAAAGCCGACATAAAAGTAACATGGAGAACATTTATGAGAACTGTGACATTCTTTAACACGTCCAAAACTATGTCTGAAAACAAGCTCTTGTCCTTTCCATCAGTCTCAAGAGCGGGATATTGGGTCACATTGCAAGTCCTACGGGTTTCATCACTGATTTAGACAAGAAAACTATCAAAGAATGAATCCTGTGAGATAAATCATAGCGAGCACCCAGCAAGCAACAAATTAGAAGATTGGAAACGTAATGACATTCATGAATAGAAAGTTTGGTTAAACTGAGCAACAATGCCGCATAAAACAGCAGCAGAAAAGTGTAAGAGGTTAACAAAGAGCATCATGTTTATGATAACGTGATGGCTCAAAAGTCCTAAAGAAGACGCGTGTTCTGTGTTTGTTGATATTTCTGTCAACCCATGATGACCAAGTGTCAAGTGCCAATCTAAAGGCAGCAGGAATTGACATTCCAAGTTTCAGTGAGCTTCCAACCTGGAAATAGCAACCCTTGTTGAATAAAGATGAGAACTATTTTACTCGCTCATGCACAATGCAAATTTAAAAACCATACCGATCCCAGCAACTGAAATTAAAAAGTCATGCATCTTATACAGAAATTGATAATAATTCCATTAAATAATTGTTCACTGAATACGTAGTTACCACAATTTCGTTTCTCATTTTGTTTGAGAGCAAAGGTTGATCATTAGATACGTTTGGGATGTAAACTATACCCCACCCCTTCCTATTGCAGTAGTATCTGTACGTATTTTAACCCTTAAAGTTCAACAAGGCTGACCATTAAATATTTCCTGGATGAAAATTATATCTCACCCCTTTATTTTCTAGTAATATCTCTTAAGACTTTCGGCAGTAAAGTAAATTCAAAAACCTGCCTCCACCTTATCCCCGTTAATTTATTCCTACTAAATTCAAGACTGTATTGGTGGTCCCCCACCCCAAAAAAAAAAAAAAACTCAAGACTATTTCCAATAACACAGCATCTTCTGCTGACAAACTGGAAAGTTCATAGAGCCTATTCTAAGAGTTTCATTTGTTCAAATGTAATGCCGTAGAAAGGGGGGATGATCTGCCCTTGAGGAAACATCTCTGAACCAGACAACTTTTTTTTTTTTTTTTTTAAATCAGAAGATCCGGACAACTTTATCTCTTCATTGAACATGTTTTTTGTCATTTTGGTTTCTGGTTGTATGATATGAGTAATCGACTAACATAGATAATTTGATTTTTATATTTGAACTCTCCAAGGAAAATGATTAATTATTGCACAGTACTGAATGAACTGGAGAGACAAAGTTGATTCCAATAGGTAAGAATTTAAATCTGTTGAGTTCATTCAGCTTGCAAGTCATGTTGCTCGGTCTGGATGCCTGAGTTGATTTCCTAGGCCAGAAGAAACAGGAAGGAAAATATTGCATCACTAGGTGCACAGCTTTCTTGGAGGGGTCCTCTAATGCTTCCTAATAACCAAAGATCCAAGTGAACAACAATGAAAACGATATTCAAGTGACAATCCGCACTATTCTCAGGCATCTAGAGTGAAGAAACCGTGACAAAAGGACAAGAAAGAACATTGGAAAGGCAAGAATCTTAACGACGGTCTCTGGAGATTTATTTAACATGAGAGAAGCAGATTTTAGTAGCCCAGGCATTTCAAATTGGAGGAGTTCTACAAGTATTACTTTTATCATTCTTCCTACCAACATGTTAGGACAGCAAAATCACGCAGATGAATGAAGAAGCTAAATGGCAATACGCTTGCTATTATGAACTATTAAGTAATTTGTGATGAAACGTTAACTGCTAAAAGAAGAGCACTATATATCATGCAGAATCAACAGTAGTACTTATGTCCTTGACAACACAAATGAGTGGCAATCAATCGTCAATATCAACAGTAATGATCGACGAATTTACAGAAAATCCATAATCAGCTGCAATATTCATAACTTGCGAATAAAATACAGTAAGTTTCATTTCAACTTACATCTCAAAAAGCTTTGACGGCACCCACCATTGCCCCGAGTTGAATATTCAGAGAATCTGAAGTTATCCACTGATCACTAGTATCATCTATTATGTCCAATTTAGTGTTGATTTGACCATCCCCGGAGCATTTTCTGGACCGGGACCCTGTTGCACCAAGAAAACTGAGAGAAAGAATTCAACGGTGAAGTTGAAGGAAGTGAACCGAACTTCTAAAAATCTAATACGCTTTGTTATCTTATTTTGATTAACTTCATAAACGCTCTTTTTATCCTCTACTCCAGCCATCAACATGCAAATCAGTGATTCCCACTGTGTTCTACTCATTGAATCACCGACAAAAACAATTCTTTTGCTTCGAAACATCTCCAAAATACTACGAACGTCAAACAATGGAACATCACAATCACTTGGGTTCCACCTCCTGTGAAGATAATCATCGTCGTTCCGTCCATTAGCTAAGCAATTGAATCCTTGTTCTACGAAAGGACACCCTGTGGCATTATACAAGGGGTAAGCCGGAACCTGGACCCTGACCCAACTTCCGTTCAAAACGTCACAATTTTCCTGTGATCCGTCACCGTCATGGTTAAAGAGACCTTGCCTTCGAAAAAAATGATTGTCTAAGGCTAGGAAGGACGTCGATGTATCCACCGCCAATGTCTACGAAGAACGAAAACACGGACCCAATAATCACAAGCATTTGAAACCACCGCGAGACCCATCCGAATCGATTTACTTTGAGGCTATTAGTCATCGCCCTACGATTGAATGAAATGTTCCTTTCTAAAGAACTCATTGTCTCAATTCTTAATCCTCCATCGTAATTTTCCTTTGCAGATAAAATCAACAAGCCTCCACACAACACAACCAACCCGGGAAAAGAAACATCGTCGCAAGCACCCGTATTTAGTCCAAATCAGGTTTGAGGAATCACAGGAGTACCGCATGTAACGACGCAATGCATTATCATCAGGTGTAACAAGTTTTAGATGAGGAACCAACGTGAAACGCAAATCCAAAGCAAGAGCTAAGAAGCTCAAGCTCAGGACTCATGGGATTGTAGAAGATCCAAATGGAAAATACTCGATCCTAGAGACTTGAGAGAGACAAACAAACGAACCCAGATGCATGAAATAATTAACTCTAAAAATAGAAGGCACAGCAAAAATCTGAGAGAGTTGGACTTGGGCGAGCCAGATATGGTGAACATGCACAGTCAATCACTTGATCTTGCATAGAGATCCCAGAGAAGAGCAGAGCTCGAGAAAATTTGTATAGCGAGGATCTCTGGAGCCTCTGAAGGTTTGGGATGAAGCAGACTTGGGAAATCGGTGGCCGTTTGCACGTTGAAGTAGAAAGTAGCACAATCCAAAAAGAGCCAAAATAATCTGAAAGTGCGAGAATTTCAAATTTCAAGGAGTTAAGACATCTGCGAGGTGGGGCCATGACCATGGCCCTATGAAAACAACGCAGCATTTTTTCAAGGGGCACAATTCCGATATGTTGATATAGTCGACAAAGTTTCTACTTACCTTGCGAGATATAAGAAAGTTTTACGTGATCTGAATCCTCTAAGCTAAATACTGATCTTATTGGGAGAGCTTGCCATGCCTTTATGATCCAACCTAACTCGGTCTGAATATTTTAAGTGTGGTGTTCAAAACCGATCCAAGCCAAAAGGATCGATCCAAACCAATTCAAACCGACAAAAATCGACCAAAATCGAACAACAATCAGGTCTGTTTCAGTTTTTATGATATAAAAACCGATTGGTTCGGTTCAAGTTCGGTTTTGAGTACTAGAAACCGAACCAAATCGAACCAAACTTGATTAAAAAAATTTTATTTATTTATTTGTAAAATATATAACCATTTATCTATAAGAAGCATTTTGTTTTGAATTTTTTATAATAATAAATAAACATTTTTAAAATACTTGAATGAAAATGCATAATATTAAGTAATTATAATAATCATGCTATGATCATCATTTAATTATTTACAACCTAAAAGCCTCAACATTCAATTTATCTACAAGAAACATTTTGTTTTGAATTTTGTATAATAAGTTTTTCATTATTTATTAAAATATAGATACATAGATAAATATTTTCAAAGGATTTTAATGAAAATACATAATATTAAATAATTTTAATCTTAAAAACTTATATCAATTTTTATGATTAATTGTTGTTATCACATTGAAATTTTATTATATTTTTATACCTCTATTTATAAAAAAAAGGAGTCAAAAAGAATTAAATTTAATTTTAGTACATAGCACCATTATGAAGATGGAAAAAAGGAAAAAAAATTAAACAAGTGCATTAAAACTTGATCAAGACCTTAACCAAACCGAACCAAACCGAAAATAAAACCGAACCAAACCGAACTTCATAAAAACCGATTAGGTCTCAATTATCAGTAAACCGAATGGTTCGGTTCGGTTTGGTTTTTGCCCAAAACCAAACCAAACCGAACCTATGAACACCCCTAGTCTGAATGATTTTAGAAACAGGATGTATTTCTGCTGAAAAAAAAAGTTTTATGTGCTATTAAAAAAATGACCCCTCTATCATATATATGATGATGTTTTAAAGAATCAATTCTTATACAAACTGACTTGCCCGACAAATTTATAATATTGATATTAATATTACAATTATGTTACGTTGGAACCATATATCTGCAAAATGCATTGACATCTTACATCACAATTTTGTATGATAGGCATGCATACAGCCCATAATCTTGAGTCGTTCTGTTTCTCGGGCTAATGCCTTGTATATATATTAAAAAAATAATTGAAAAAGTTTTAGCATGCAATTATAATATATATATATATATTAGTTTAAGCGAAACAAAAAATAACTAACTGATGACAAAGAGGTAAACTAATCCCCTGTGGATTAGGCAGAGCTAGACATAGATTGACCATATTGTTCCGGTTCTACATGATGCTTAGATTTTGAATTGGTAACCTTATATGCAACGTTCATTGAGGTACGCTTTGATAGCAAATTCTTATTTGTTGGATACCTCTTGAACTGTATGGAACTTTGTGAGAGGTGGGGGGATTTAAAAAAAAAAAAAAGAGTTTCACTTAACCAAGGTTGACTTTTTTTTTTTGGTGTCTCTCTCTACTTATTTTATCAAAGTCATTTTACGAGATCTAAATTCAAAAGTGCCAACCACATACATGTAATGTGGAAAAGAGATTATGAGCCAAAACCAAGTGTACACATGCCTTGTTTACCACACTAAACCTCAGAAAATGGTGGATATTAACTATTAAGTTTGTGGCCCGCTTTTGAAATTAAGGATGAAATTAATCATGTTAGAAAAGCAATTTCTAATTTAAGCCTGGCAGATATTTAAATATAATCTAATGGTATTGGCAATATTATAGTATATGAGAATTACAATAATTAATTAATCCCATGTGTGTCCATTGATAATTGAACATAACAAAATGCCTACTAATTGTAAAGTCATTTTACTATATTCAGTTATCAATAATATTTGATTCTGTTCTGAGAAGTCTAAACCTAATTATATTTTTTCTTGTAATATTGTTGTCATAAATTAAAATGGTGAATTTGGATCATCACAACAAAATTCACTCTGTTATTTTTGTTTCCGCTATTAGAATTTAGAAAAAGCTTTTGCAGACCCAGATTGGATCCCTATTATTAATTAAGATGACCGTGCCGTGCTAGGAAAATAATATATATAAATATATATATGTTGAAATTGCTGCAGGAGAATATATAAAGTGGGGTCTATATGATCGATCAAATTAAACAACGATTGCTTCTTCAATCAAGAACTTATGGTTTAAGTTGGCCGTCTAGAGATCTATCTTCTGAACCTATAATTGTGTCATGGGACGGATCAGTAATATTAATTAGTATATGAGGGATCCTTTGGTTCCTTTTTTTATTTACAGAGCCCTCCATGATGCACGCTATGCATAGTTTAACACCTGGATGTTCCCAAAGATCATTAGTTGATTTATTGTTTTTGAATTAGCAAACGTACGTTGTTTAGAGTACACTCACACATATATGTCATACGTACCGATTATAATTATTACTGATCATGTAGATAATACTACTTAACAATGACTGATATCAATGACACGTATAGCAAATATCACTGTCACAAAAAGTGCCTTTCTGAGCTTGTCTTTTAAAGTGCTTATTAAAAAAAGCATTACTAAATTTAAACGCGAAACTTATGAAAACACTTTTAAATTTATTAATATAGATTTTTAAGAGCATTCAATAAGTGAACATTTTAAAAGATCATATAAAAATATATAAATCTTTGACAGCACTCTTATAAATAGTATATAAAAGAATTATAAAGTTTTAGGAGCCTTTTTCAAAAAAACACTCTGACCTAAAGAACATATAAACAAATAAAAAAATTATAAATTTTTAGGAGCGCTCTATTAACATAAAGAAGCACTCTTTTTTTGAGTACTCTCGTATGCTTATATGCTTATCTATTAAGAGTTTTTTTTTCTCAATATATATGAGAGTGCTTTTATAAAAGGTTTATGTAAACCATTTTTGCGAGAATGTTTCAAAAGAGCTGTTGAAACCAACACACACGAAGGCAAAAAATAAACCCTTTTTATAGTAGAATATATATTGAACCAAAACCCCTAATATGTACACCTAATATATATAAAAAAGAAATTTTTCCATTTTATCTTTAATATTTATTAACCTATATATTTGTATGAATGTATCTCTTTCATTGCTAATTGGGACTAGAAGGTAAAATATATACATATATATATATATATATATATTCATGAAAATGAGGACTTTATTAGTGTGTATTTTTCTTTTTTTAAAAACTGTTTATATTTTGAATTGGAGAGAATATTATACAAATATATGGAGTTAGAGAGTTATTTGATGATGAATCTATATAATTCTATATTGCAGAAATATAATATTTGTTAATCATTTAATCCATGCCCACTAGCATGTACTTCCTCTATCTTTATATATAAGAGGTCATTTAGAATTTTTTTATTTCTAAATATAAAAAGTTATTAGCATATTTTAATAAATGAACTATTATACTCTTATTAAATTAAAAATAGAAAAAGATAAGTACTCTCATTAATTTACTTTAAAAAAAGACATTCATTTTTTATTTATAATAATTAGGGGCAAAATTAAAATATTAATGTACTTTTAATTAAATAATTAACTTTTATTGATTTGTATAATTAAATTAAAAATATTTTATATGTATATGGGGACACAGGGAGTAGTTAGGAATCCAATTATCCACTATAGTCATGTGATTAAATTCTAAATTTTCTTCTAATCAAACTGATTAATTTTCGAAGACCATAGACCTATGGGGCTTTTTATATTTAAGTGCTCGAGCTTCCAATTAACTACAGATCGGAAGTGATCGTTTGTGGATGATGGAGTCGCTCATTTAACCCATATAACACACGTGCCCTTATAAATATAACATAATTACATACAATCTTCTAATTAATGCCTATCCAAAGAGACCATAAAGAGATTACACAGAGTTCGAACTAATTTGTCGTGTAGTGTGTGCGTGATTTCAGCAAATATATGTTAGCGCACACAGATAAAATTAGGCAGTGATATGAAAAGCTTTTGATATTTAGGAAGCCTTAGTTAAACATTTTTAATGTTGATTTTCTTCCAATATTCTAATAAAATTTCTTATAACTATGCCATATATATAATTTTGAAAACTGAGTAATTGAAAACCTTGATCCCTCTCAACAATCAAACTACATATACGGATCAAATTAAAATTGCAAATGATAAATTAAAATCTTAATATAAAGTAGTTTATTCGCAATTTTAATTTATGAACTTTTCATGCATGAACTCAAACAAACTGAATCCCGATCATAGCAATAAAATTCACTTGCATAATATAAAACCTCAGCATCTCAAGAGTGAGTGGAATAATTAATAGAATATATGTAAATATATGAAGTTATATACGAGTAAGTTAATACAGACATGTATTAGTATAGGCATGCAAACCATATTGTAAGTTTAGCTAGAATCCTAACGCCCCTATTCGGTCAGAGAAAAAGGGAACAGCTAGCTGGGTAATATCAAGATTAGTTTCACCAAAGGTGGCAAACCATAAATATAACTAGGAGCTTTAACTTTTCCTTCAGTTAGCTTTTCTGCAGTTATTTGTAACTGTAGCAACAGTATGAGGGATTTCTTCAGCTTTAAGTTACTTTTGTCAAGTTATAGGCCTAGTTTTTCACTTTGGCCCTCTTTAGCGCTTTCTTCCGCACCATTACTAGAAATTATAATAAACAACACTCAAATCAAAAAACATAATTCAAGTCCATTTCAAAAACACACATTCCTCTTCTATGTGTAATCCTTGTTTAGAGCCCCGTACTTCTGCTTATCCACATATGTATATGTATATATCCTGCACACATATATGCCAACAAGCGCAGAAGGGTGGGGGATCACATCAATTGCATTTATTCATTAATAGCTTCTGATGATCACGTCACAAAGTTTATAATTTTTGTCCAGAGAAAGAGATCGGCCAAACAAACTTTCTGGCCAGCTACCAAACCGCATAGAAATGATTCCAATCTTAACATTATATATATCACTGCACGTAATCGATACAAACCATGCCATTATGATTATTCTACGCTACAAGGCCTCTTCAGTCAACAATATACATCATAACAAACCTCTTCTCCCATCAAACTTGATCATCCCTTTTTTCCAAATTATTAGTCCACCTCCTTTCAAACTCCAAATTATTTTTCTTCTCACTCACAAATCATCACACATAACTAATTAAGTATGCACACAATCCACTGTATATATAATAATTAGCCAATAATTACCTCATGACTCATGACTATAGCCTGAGCGGAGTCCAAGTCTGACGGGCAAGCCCATTGCAGCCGCGGAGGAGGAGGCGGTGGTGGTGGTGGGGCAGTGTAGTAAAGAAGGTGGTGCAAAAGGCCAGTGATCGCTTTGAATATTAGAACTAGCAGTATTGTTAACCCCAACAATGGCAAAAGTAGTGCTCGTGGCGCATTGTGGTGAGGGTGAGGGTTGAGATTGGAGCAACCTGATTTGTCGCTTCAAGAACTTGACATAGCGAATGGCTTCGTCGAGCATGGAGGCAGTGTCCATCTTGGTGCCCCCAGGGACGAGTCTCTGGAGGATTCGGATTTTCTCGCTGATCCTCTCTCTCCTGTGCCTCGCGGCCACGCTTTGCGGATCGTCGCTGATTCTGACGTTTCGCCTCTTTGGCTTTCGGATGGTGGCTGGGTCTATGTCCACTGGCTGCATAGCAGCGATCCTGTACAGCATCTCCTTCACTGCTCCCAGCTCTTCTCCTCCTCCTTCTCCATCTTCTTCTTCTTCTTCCAGCACGACGTTGTTCGGAAACCCTGAAGAGGGGATTGTGGGGGACGAAGAAGACGGTATTATGTGATGAAGGTAGTTAGGCCAAGATGAACACATAGGGATTTGATGATGGAGACTTTGATGATCCATTTCCATCGTGTCCAGATTCCAAGTGGAGTTGTTAACACCTGTGAATATTGTAGGGTTTTGGTTGACATCCATGAGACGAGAAGGAGATATAATATTGAATATTGAATTTGGTTATGTTTGGGACTGGAAACAACACACCACTAACTGCAATTATATATATTCATGTAGAAAAATGGTGATGAAGAAGGGAAAAGGGGTCGCTAGCAAGACTTGAGGATTTCGATCTCCTTCTCTCAATGAAATACTCTATGGGTTTGATGGTTGAAAAGAAAGCTATGGCTAGCTGGCTGACCAAAGGGGCCCGGCCAGAGAAAAGAGAGAGTGAGAGACTGAAGCATTCGGATTTCAGAGGGGCTGCTTTTCACTGGAAGGCGAATGACTGCAAAAAGCATAATATAGATTAATTAATGGGTTAAAAGAAAAAGGGTGCGTAGCAAGGGGATTGAATGGGTTTCAATATTTACCTAGCTGGTGGGTCTGCATAATGTCTTAATGATGGATCAAGGGTTAAGGAAAAAGTAGTCTATGTAGGTACGAGGTGTGAGAATTGCACCGATGGGGGAAGACTGGAGGAGCTATAGTCACACTCCAACACTTAATTTCTCTCTCCAACTTGTTTTTTTGTGCACTGAAATCATCGGGCTGCTTCTGCGTTAACATTTATGTTTGCATCCTCTACTTTCTTGCCATCATTCCCTGCCATTAATTCATTCCTCTTTCACTAATTTTTTTTGCCCCTCTCCTCTGATTTTTTTTTTTGTATATGGTTCTTAATCATTCCATGGTTATCTCTTGTATAATTACCTCCACTACTATCCTCAATAAGTAGCTAAGTACACACATAAGAGGTCAAATAAGCCAGTCCTTGTTTTCATGACTTTCCTCTATATTAATTTTCCTTCTTTAAAGCTACTAGTTGTTTCAGCGGTAGCACCGCCTCCTTTGCTTGGGAGAAATCTTGAGTTCGAATCGGGCATTGACATGTTCATACACATGGGTATATGTGTTTTTCTCTTATAGGGAGAAGAGCTAGGTTAGTGATAAAGAATAAAAAAAAATTGGCAATTAGATGACATGCAGAAAATTGATATTTAGTTAGTAATGCTTGGAGTTGGAATTAGTTGATAAATTAAAAATTGATGCAGTTCAACGATGTGTGTGTGTGTGTGTGTGTAATACTAGTAGTATAAGATGAGCGTGTGTAAAACAAGCTATCCTAAAAGTATCTTCAATAAGCACTCAATGAGTTGTGTGATTTGTTTTAACTTTGAGTGCCTCTCCAAAACCCAACTTACCTAGCTTTTTGCCAAAAAAACAAAAACAAAATAATATGCAAATCATTAATGAAACTATAATTATTTAAAAAATTTATTTCTTTTGAGATAATATAGAAACGATAGAGATCACTATACTAACATTTCATAATTTAAGTAAATTAATTTGGGTTACGCGTGTGTTGGGGGGATATATACAGATAAAGTGCCCATTGCATTGCTGTAACAAAGAAATGATTGTCATGTGAATTATATTGATTCATATTGAAGCCGAACATAATTAAAAATTAAAAGAAAGAAAGAAAGACAAAGATCAAACATTTCAAGTCATGGATTAAAAAAAATCGCATCGACTTTGGGTTTGGGCCATTATTGGAAGATCGACCAGCTTTACTTATATATTTGTAAGAATAAATACTCGCGCACCCGCACGTTGATATTAATCTCTAATATAATTATTATTCAAGTAATGACCAAATGCATTGATGACTACCTGATTTAACTACAAAGACATGTCTAACAAAGTCATAATCACAATTTGGCAGCATCTGTGCTAGCGTCATATGTACTTGCAATGCCACAATTAATTATTTCCAACATTTAAGACCGTTTGAAATATCAATATCACGGATGATCAAATTGTATTTGATATGAAATTAGCCTACCACCACGACCATACATCTAAAGTGGTGCCCTGCAGTTGAAACCAACTATAGAATCTTTAAAAGGAGAAGCTGATTATATATTTTCCATATGTGGAAAGTTTTCCATACCATAGGCATTATAGAACATATGGAAATCTTCATGAACAAACCTAATTATTTCTTTTATATATCGCTTTTCATTGGTGCACGTCAAATTTTGATGCCATTTAGATTAATATAGAGATAAATCTTTATCCTGATTAATGACGAATCTAAACAAGATGAAAACTAAATCATCGAGCAATTCAATCCCCAAATTTAAAACGCCAAACGGAATATTTGGAATAATGAAAATTCAAAGTCAAGGTCTTATCAAATTTATATAGTACTAACATTAATTAATCCACCTTATTACATTAAATAGTAATCAAGGCCATGAATGCTATTGAAAAATATAATACAATACAGTTCCAAAGCCGCGTGAAACATTGAACTATTAAAGGATTAATTAACGTAAGTCTTAAGCATTTGTCATAATTAATCAAGTTAGGGTTCAAGATCATAAGTATTCAACCTAAGGTTTGAAAACTAGAAGATAGGTTGTGTTTCCAAAAACTTTCCTTCACACGCAGAGGAACTCAATTTCTTCCTTCCTTTCTTTATTTCTTCCTCGGTTCTTATTATTTATGATGTGTGAGGGGGAGGGACACGTACTTGACAAAGATGACAACTTATGTATGTATTTGCCTTTTATGTATTTTCTGTTGTTATTCAAAAGAAAAATATTCTCTACGATGTATAACAGTCCTGTTTCCCTATTTTGTAAAAAAATATATCATAGATTTATAAGAAAAAAACCTAATTAAGAAACTTCATCTCATCTATAATATATGATACAGAGGCTTGAAAATATTGGGCAAAGTATGGAAACGTAGCTGGGATACATGTTTCTGAATCATCACGCAAGCATCGTAGTGAGAGAGAGTCCGATCGAAGCCAACAAACCTGGAAAACAAAAATTTACGAAGACTGATGATCGGACGGTGGGGCAACGTTGTGTGATCTTTTCTCAGTCGTCAAGTACAATATATACACGTGCCTGCTCTCACTTTCCTACGTATAATTAAACCCAGCCAGGTTATAATTCTGTTCTGTAATATACGCTTGCGCATGGCCAAAGCAATCATTGGATCTCTTGGCTAGGGTTTCATCACCTTGGCCTTGGGTATTTAGGACCCCATCATCATCATCTGAACTAAAAACTCCCTCTCATCTCTCTTCTCTGTAGATTCTTATTTCCTTTCGGAAAATTAATTATAAGCTCGAGACAAAAGTGATACATCAATGTATTATATGAGGACAAGGTAGCCTGCTTCAGCACATGAATAAAGACGCAAGTTTATAAGTAATATATATATATATATATCACGGCTTGGCCTTCTCTCATGTGTTGTTTTTGATCCATGATCAAAAGGAATATTTTGTAAAATAAGAAAATTAAAAGAAAAAATTACTATAAGTTTTCTTATAGCGAGCATAGCAGATCTAATTACTCGGAACTACGGCCAAACTATATCTCATGTTTTCTCTGAGAATCTGCAAAACAAACTTTGACCCCTAGTGAAAAACGGTGATTTACCCCCTCGTACTTGTACGATATTTCTTTATACACGTTCTTTCGGTTTTTAGGATCTTTTTGCGGTCCTTTAACGTGTTGTCATTGAATATATCACAAATTACCGTGCCATGAATGTCATTTATTGCTCCGTCCGTGTGAATGTGAGTGTTCTTTTTATCTTTTTTCTGTTCGTATGTTGCAGACAAGCAGCCGAGTTTAATAGACAAGAAGAACCATTATATCTATTTCACTTTGCATTTACGTAAGAGAGATCAGTGGGAAAACTTGGCCAAAACAATTCAAAAAAGTAATAATCACAAAGTGGACCTACCATACACGTCATAATGATCCGATGGATTGTATTGACGCACAATTAGAACCGTGTTAGGAGACTTGAATGGAAAAGAATTAGACCAAATGGTACATACAGATAGAACCAGCAAGCAGCGTTTCTGGTTGCGTTTGAATAAGGCGTGCTTTCTTTTAGAGGAAATAACTGGAACAAGGGTTGAAGTAATCAGTGGTTTTATCCAAAACAGAGAGAAGGAAAGCGGAACTTAAAGATGAATTCCACAAGGCGAGAGAAAGAGAGAGCTTTAAATAAAATGTAGATATATATAATAAAAGCGGAGGTAGGCAGCTTTTGAGGAGAGTGAGTAGATATGGAAGAACATGTTTACGAGGAGGATTGGGTCAGATCTGACACGCCATGCATTAATATCACTTTTTTTTCCACCACCATTAATTCCGAGAGAGGTGTGTCATGGAATTCAAAATACATGGCCTCCTCAGAGTCCGGACTTCACCGAGGAATTTCACTCTTTCCATTTCCGGAAAAAGAGAACCAAGTAACCTTTTATCCTTGTTCCCTCTCTAATTGCCCTTCCGAAAGCTCTTCTTTGGAGTTGTACCCCTTCATCCTTCTTTCCGTCTCATTTGAATATTGTGCCATTGGGATTCTGGTTGGCATGCAATTACCATCAATAGGACAAAACTTCATCCTCCCTTCTTGGCTAAGAGTAGCGAAAAAAATTTACATCTTAATTTAAAATTTTAAGACTCTGACAAGTTTTTTTTATTATATATTTTCTCAGTTTAAATTATAAAATATTTTTTTTCTAATTCATCTTTCAAAATATAAGACATTTAGTAGGTTTTAAAATTTTTTTCCTATTTTACCATTGTATTTATTAACTTGATTTGTTGTGTAATCTTATTGGTAGTTATTGCATTTTTCTCACTCTTTATAATAGTTAAAACTTTATTAATCTGTAAGGAGGTTCACGCTTTCTCATGTTATAGTACTTCATTAAAAAATATTATCTCTCTCATTAATTTATTATTGAAAATTGGGAAAAAAAGGTAAAAAGAAAAACTTATGATATTTATAACCAAAAACAAAGATATAAATGAATTTATTAGTATTCGAATTATAATTAAAAATATCTTATATTTTGAATCAGAGGAAGTATATTAATTATCAAGCTTAATTTTATTCGATATAAGACCTTCCACATTGTTTTAGTCATCTTAACC